CGGCTTTAATCAAAATTTTCATATAATGTCCGCCATCACGTGTAGCTGCCGCATAATGCATTGGTGTACGCTTATTCTAAAGGATTGCACTGACTCAATTTCAAATTTTTCAACTTTAAAATCTGTTCAATTTTTGTGGAACATTATTCCAGTATTCAATAGCCGATTTCAAGTATTTCCGTTAAAAAAATTTTTGTATTTTATGTAATACTATTTCAATATTTTAAAATTTGCATCAAATAAATATTCCAAAATATATTTGCATTTGACAATTGCTAACGTATTTCCACTTCTTTCGATGAAATATTTTAATTGAATTGAATGAAAATATTAAATTAAAATAAAATAACTCACATAATCAGAAGCATTTAAAGCAGATTTAAAGCTTGATGCAATGTAACGAATTATTTCAGTTTGTTCGTAAATGATTGCGGTATGAAGCGGCGTATGCCCAAGTCGATTTCGAGCTACCGCTAACTTTTTTGAATTGATTAATTCCTTTACACGTTTTAAGTCACCTTTCTTAATCACTTCATGAATTTCACCGATCTTATCCTGAAAATTTTCCTATTCTGCAAATTATATTAATTCCATTTTCATTTCTTATCAAACAACTTACTGATTAGCCAATTATTATAATAAATTGATAAAATGATTGCTATTTCTTCCTGCAAACACAAGTCATCACAAAACAATAAAATTTATTGTAGATTTTTTTATTTTTCAAAAATTTACATTGTTCTGATAATTTCGGTAACTTATGAATTCATTTAAATTAATAATAAATTAATTATTGGCATCACTGACATAGTTTAATATATCATTCTGCTGAAAAATGAGTGCTGTAGAAATCATTCTACTCATTAAAATAAAATTTTAATTATTTTACATAATAAGATAAACGATGACACTCGGAATTAATATTAATTAACAGCGAAATTTTATATTTCAGTTGAAAATCTTTAAAATTCGTTTAAAATCTGCATAATTGAGGCAAGAGTTTTAATTGTACGATCAAATAATTAACTGATAATTATAGCAATAATATTGACATAATTGTTGCTATTGCTACAATAACATTGCAAAATAAGAATAAATATTTGGCCAATTTTTTGTTCCAATATTTTTTTATTATTTGATTAGACAGATAGGGAGACAGAAAGAGGCAGAGGGAGACTAAAAGAGGGAAAAAGAAAAACGAGAAACTTATTTTTTTCTTCTCTTGAGACTATTTCCTTCTTTTTAGAAGAAAATACTTTTTTCTTTTTTAGAAAAAAGGAAAAGAAAGGAAGAAAGAAAAGTTTGACCTTGTAAGTGACATGCGTGGCACACTTTACTAAAGAAGAAAAGAATAACATTTGGAAAAAAAAGGAGGAAATAAAAAATGAAGCAATTATTATTAAATAGAAGTAATCTAATGATGTTACTGAAATCTGAAACGGAAGAAAAGGAACAGTACGAAGACATCATAATAACTTTTACTTCTTCAAGGTCAATGGGAAAAAAGAATGGAAAATAGCACAAAAAATATATAGGAATTTTTATCATTTAAAAGTAATAAATTACTTTAAAAATAATATATGATATTTTCGAATGTTGTTAGAATACACATAAAGTAATTATAGTCTTTGTTTCTTTAAGGTCAAAGTTTTCGACAATGGAAGAGAAGAGGGAAGCAAAAAAATATCATATATATGAATACCATTCATTTAAGAATTCATAACCTAAAGTAGAATATTTAAATTGGAGTAACAAATGTGTTAGTAAAATAATTATTACCAAATAAGTATTTAAATAATCGAGAAAAGTTTTTGAATTTGTATTGTTTGTTGTATGACCAAAAAGTAAATCACCACATCCTGAAAGTACTAATTGCTCCAATTTACCGATATTACCATCACGAAGCCATTGATGAATATTTGATTGCAAATAGGACGATGTTACACGATTATGAATAATCTACAAAATAAAATTTTTCTTGTTAAATATTAATTTAATTAAACGAAAATAAAAATTAATAAATGAGAAAAAGTAATTTTTTTATTGCAACATATAATTCATCGATGAAATAAAAAAAATTATCGTAATTGTAACAGAAACAATACACAATTTTTTCTCTCATCATTTTTAAAATAAAATAAGTTATTACACTTTATTACTTTTTAAATGAATAGAAAAGAAAAGGTGATTAAATAATGCATTTTATTTTCAGGTAATTGAATTTTAAAGCTTTATTTTTATGTTTTGTTTAAAATACAATAAATTAATTGCCTCATTCAAAATGATTTCTCTGTCTGTGTTAATTGCTTTAAAATCAATTTGTTCGGGATTTTTCAAATAATAGCTGGGTCGTCGACCATTCTGAAAGTAATTTCTCGAACTTTTTCTTTTTCTCACAAATTGATAATTGAATAAATTTATTAGTGTTCATAAAATTAAAAAATCAAAACAAACAATTGAAAAATAAAAAATTTGCACACAATTTATTTCCTACGAACAAATATGAATTTTTAAGTAAAATAAAAACGTTTATTAGCAATATTAATTATCCATGATTCCTCAAATGCATGAGAAATGAATATCAAATAAACTAATCAACAAATTTATTTATTAAATTCAATAATTTTTAGAAAAAAGATTTAGCTTGTCGAATTTTGTTTTAAATTTGGAAATTTTAACTTACAGAGTCAGAAATCTTTGAATCAGCTCCGACGCCACGCATCTTTTTGTACATGTAACCACCATCAGATAAAGCTGCTGCATAATGAAGCGGCGTTCTTTTCTTCTAATGATAAATATAAAAATTACAATAAAATGTAAAAAATTAAGTATGCCGTGCAATATGAATTCAATGATTAAGTATTAAAATAATGTGATGAATTGATCGATAAAGCGACGAAGAAGAAAATTGAATGCAGAAATCAAAAATACTAAGAGTTTTTTTAATTCATAACAATAAAAAATTATATTAGACTAGTAATAATGCATAATTCAAGTAATGATCGCACTCTAAATTTTAACTAAATGGCTAAAGAATTATGGAAACAATTTTATATGAATATACATCAACTAATACCTCATCCATTGCATTCGTCGTTTGCGGATAATTTTTGATCAAAAATTTAGCAATTTCCATTTGCCCCAAAATGATCGCTTTATGTAATGGTGTTAAATGTCGAGCGTCACGACAAAATGCCATCTTTTTTCGATCTATCAATATTTTAATTGTTTGTATGTTATCCGCTTCGATAGCTTTATGAATTGTATCAATTTTAATCTAAAATGATATCATAATAATATTTGTAATACAAATTTCATTCCACTTTAACATAATTTTTTATCGTATATAAATTATTTTTTAAACTTAATTTTCTTCTATTTGTAATGTTTTCCTTCAAAATATCTTCAACATATTTCTATTAATTAATTTAAAACGTATTGAATCGCTAAAAGAATTAACCTGATACAGTGGTAATGCATTCAGGAAATGACGAATATCCGGATCATTAACTTCTTGTATTCGACCGGATAACAAATCCACATAACCATTTAGTACCAAACTATCTAATTTTCTCAAATTGCCAATATGAATCCAATCCGAAATACTTTCTTCCAAATCTATTTTACAAGAGTAAATTCATTTCAATAATGATAAACCGTATCGATTGTTAAAAAATAATGAAAATAATTGAAACTTGCAAATTATATAATTTGTTTTTTAAAATTGATGTTTAAATGATTAATTAACCTTGCAAAAGTGGTCCACTCACTTGACCTGTAATAAGCTCATCCATCTGATCGTTATCTTTAATCATCATTTTAATATCTAATTGATTCGCATTATTTTGGTAATACAACGGTGTATGGCCAAACTGTAATATTTTATTATTATTTATTCAAATTTGTATCATTAAAGAAATTTCAATATTTTTTACATCTTATATACTTGAGTTGATTGAATTTAATAATTATGACATTATTACTTAAAACTCCAAATTTAAATACTCGGAAGTTGAAAAATTACAAAAAAATTATAAAATTCTGCTAAATGAAATAAATTTAATAAACAGTGCAAAATGAGATTCTGAAAATTTTACAACAGAAGAATAAATTAGATTTAATCAATTCAAGTTAAATTAAATTGGAGACCTTATCTTCAATGAAATTATCGGCTCCAGCTTTTTGCAACAGTTTTACCATAACTTGACTAGCTTGACTTGCAAAAGCGTAATGTAACGCCGTTCGGCCAGTCTTAAATTTCCTCTACATTATTGAAATCTTTTACAATTAAAAAGTTTAAAATGATTTTTTGCTCAAAAATTTACACTCTTGGTAATTTTAATAACAAAATTATTTTCAAAGAAATAATAATTTAATAGCTAATATATTGCGACCAGAAAATGTAATGAATAGTGAACCTTATCTAAATAGCACTTTTTTCAAATTCAATTTATATTTTAAAATTATATTACATGATTGGTAGCATTAACGCAAGATGGATATTTTGATAGCAAATAACGAACTACATTTGTTTGTCCGTGCAATATTGCTATATGTAATGGTGTCATACCTAAAAATTGTAAAATTACAAATTTCAACAAAGTTTTTTTGATTCTTGAAAAATAAACAAATAATCGACTATTTTTATTTTTCTTATCACGTCTAAATGTAATTTACTTCATCACTTTTTAATTACTCAAGCGAATAATTATAGATATATCATTAATTATTTGGAATAATTATAGATATATCATTAATTATTATTGTAATAATTATAGATATATCATTAATTATTTGTCGATTAAACATTTAAACAAATATGAAATATGAAATCAAGTATTTATTTGATTAGCAAAAATAAAAGAGGCATTAACCATATCTGTCACGTGCAACAGAAAATTTGTCAATATCGATTAATGTTATCAGTTGATCAATATCACCTTCTTCCACAGCTTTATGAATTGCATCAATTTTATCCTAAAAAGGATTTAACACATATATTAAAAAAAACATTTATGTATATATATATAAATGATAAAATTAAATAAAATGATGGTATTTATGGAAAATTTAACAATTATTAACTAACTTGATATTTGAAGAGTCCATTGAGGAACTGGTTTGTGGCCGTATCATTTGAAGTTTTATTAGCCAAAAGATATCTGCGGCCATCAAAAAAAATTTGCTCCACTTGTTTGACATTGCCATTTTGAAGCCATTCATTCACTTCACATTCACTTGGAGCATCGGAAATTGAAAATTATAAAATTATACTTTAATAGAAAATTGATCAATTTTGTCGGTAATTGCCATTATTATTAAATTTTAAAACTTTAATTCATTTATGAATAAAGTCTAGCCGTATAACAATAATAATTTTGTTGTTGCTGTATTGCTATCATTTGTAAGTGTTACATA